TGGGGGGGGGGGTAGGCAGGTGTTCAAGTTGCTAGGACACCGTGGGCTGCGATAAGGCCAGGTGGCCCCAGGGCAGCGGTCCCCGTTCAGGTGGCACAATGATGCTGACCGAGTCCATCTATGGCGCTTAGGCCTGCTTCCCTGGTTCTGTCTAGACTACCAGGTTTGGGCAGCTTTGGAAAATGAGCCAAGAGAACTTGACCCAAGCAAGCCCACATCTGTTTGCTTCTGTACCAGGCACTGCTGTTTCTTGGCTAGCTCAGGCCCTTCATTTCCTCATGGTGCCCGGGTGTGGCCGTTACCCACCTGCTGAGGGCGATTTTTTGGTGGAGCAGAAAGCCCCGCTCATACGGCCAGGGCAGGCCGGTCTCGAACCACTCCCGGCAGCGCAGTACAGGCGAGATGCAGGCGGCGCCAGTCACGTAGCTGGAGGAGCCGCACTCGCCCAGGTAGGACAGCAGCAGCGCCGAGCCCGAGCCCTCGCTCACCGCGAACAGTGGGGCCGCCGGGTGTCGGAAGCGGATGTAAGTGACAGCCTCCTTGAGGTCTGATGGGTCCCCGAAAGGCTGCAGCCGGGGGCTGACTAGGGGGCAGCCGTGGTGGCCGCGGCGGTGGAAGATGACCGGATAGTAGCCGCGCTCCAGGGCCAGCAAGCAGAGGCCGAGCACGTTGCGAGTGAGGCGCCCCCAGGCATTGGGGATCACCAGCAGCACCGCTGGCAGGCCCCCCGCGTTGGTGATCCGGCGGCCCCGGGCGCAAGGTCCCACGACCCAGTCCAGGGCCACCAGCCCGTCGTCTGCCAACTGCAGATACTCGCGGGCCAGCTCCGGCCCGGGCCCCACGGGTAGAACGAAGTGGCATAGGGTCTGCAGGTGGGGTCCCGAGAGCCAGGAGCGCTGGCCGGGCTCCAGCGCCGCCGAGCGTCGCAGCGCGCGCAGCAGGCACTGCGCCAGCGCCGACGGCTTACAGATGAGGCAGGACCCGCCCGGCAGCGGGCCCCCCCGCGCG